GGTTGGTTGGTTGTGTGTGTGTGTGTGTGTGTGTGTGTGTGTGTGTGTGTGTGTGTGTGTGTGTGTGTGTGCGTCTGTCACTCGCGCACACAACCACACATTCCCCCATCCCCCCCCACCCAACACATCCCGAACCCACAACCCGCTTTGAGAGTGATTTTTTTTTTTTGCTCATGAGCAGAGCAGCATAATCGGAAGAGGGGTAGACCCATCAACGAAGAATGTGTCGTGGGTTGGGGAAGAGTTGTGGTGATGGCCACAGAAAAGAGAGAAACAAGAAGCGAGGTCAACCAACAACGACAAAACCACCTATGCCTTGCTTGGAGTTGAGAGGAGGGGGAACGATAAGGAGGGGGGGGGGAGTTGTGAAAAGTACACCGGGGAAAACATACGCCAGCAACCAAAACCGATTCGATGCACGACACGCAAAGGTCTACCAAGCACACGCACGCACTCATTCGCACACGCATGCATGCACACATTCGCACGCAAAATGCACGCACACATGCACGCCCAGGCACACGCACGCCCCTGCACGGTCAACACAAACAACTGCTGCTACTATGTGCAACCTGACACGCGCGCGCTCACATCTTGGAGGGCATGCCAAAGCGCTGGAGAAAGTCCTTGTGGAAGGAGGTGAAGAGGTCGATGACACGCGGCATCTGCTCCTCGGCGGGGAGGATGGTGGTGCGGAAGTGGAAGGTGCCCTCCTCCTGGCCAAAGCCAGACCCGGGCACAGCGCAGATGCCCGTGGCATGCAGCAGCTCCAGGCAGTAGAAGAGGTCTGGGCCCATGTCCTTCTTCTCGGCCTCCTTCACCGCAGCCTCTGGCAGGCGCACACGCGGGAACGCATACAACGCGCCCTGCAAGAGAAGCACAGGGCGACCAGTTGAAAAATAAATGTGTGGGGAGGGGAGGGCAAGGGAGGAAGAAGGGAACAGAGTTGATGTGTATTGCAGAGTCACGATGAAGAGCACAGACGCAGCAGCTCTCGAGCACACAGCACAAAAGTGCACATACACGCACACACACACACACAAGCATGCGTGCACATACCCCATGCACACACGCACAAATACAGACACACACACACACAAATACACTCATACACACATGCACGCATACACACACAACACACAGAAATACACAACACATACACACAGAAATACATAACACATACATACACACACATATACACACACCTCGACGTTCTGGCAGGAGACGCCGGGGAGGGCGTTGAAGGCGTTGGAGATCATCTCGGCGCGGCGCTTGAGGGACTGGAAGATGGCATCGCACTCCTGCTCGTACTGCTCGTACGAGGCGTCGCCGGGCTTGGGCGGGTTGCACATGAGGCCCATCATGAGCTGGCCGTCAACGTTGGACGACAGGCCGATGGAGAACACCTTGTACAGCTGGTCCAACGCGCCCGGGTGGATGTTGGTGGCCTCCAGGTACCCGCCGCGGCGGCCGCACTCGCCAAACACGCCCTTGGACACGGTGTGGAAGGAAATGAGCTCGACATTCTTGCCCTCGTCGCCCATCTCCGTCACCACCTTCTTGAAGGAGATGAAGGGGCGGGAGCCGTAGACGTTGGTCTGGTACACCTCGTCCGCAAGGAGCACGACGCGGTTGACGGCGGCCCAGCGGGCAATCTCCTCCATGTTCTCGCGAGAGAGCACCTGGCCGGTCGGGTTGCCCGGGTTGATGACGACGAGCGCGCGCACGGTGAGGCCGCGCTCCTTGGCGTCGGCGACCACCTCGTTGAGGTTGTCGATGGACAGGGACCAGCCCTGCTCCTCCTGCAGGCCGTAGCCGAGGATGACGCCGCCAAGCAGGGCAACGGAGGCAGAGTACAGCGGGTATTGCGGGGTGGGCAGGAGGATGCCATCCTTCTGGTCGCGGATGAGCATGTTCAGGCAGCGCTGGATGGCGGGGGAGGCGCCGTCGCTGAGGAAGATGTGTTCTGGGTTGGCCGGGTGCCCGTCACGGCGGGCGATGAAGTCGGCCACCTCCTGGCGCACGTACATGTTGCCGCGCGAGTCCTGGTATGCGCCGGAGCCACCGGGGAGGTTGTCCAGGTACTTCTTTGCACGCGCGATGGCGTCCTCGGGGAACAGCTTGCCCACGTCGGGGTGCTCCAGCAGCTGCGGGCATGTGACCAGGGAGATGACCTGGCGCGGGAAGGTGATGGGCTTCTGGCCAAGGGACTGCGGGTTGCCGATGTTGGTGAAGATGACTTCCTTGCCGCTCGCCTTGCGCTTCTGCGCCTCAATGTAGATGGTGCCGCGCACGGCATAGTGGGAGGCGATCACAAACTGGTTGATGCGGCCTTCAGGGTGCAGCACGGCGTCGGGGCGGGGATCCGTCATCTTTGCTGTTTGTTGTGGTCGCAGAAAAGGAGGAGGAGGAGGAGGAGGAGGGGAAGTGTAAGAGGGGAGTGTAAGGCGGGTGTAAGGGGGGAGGGAGCACTTGATAGACTGTGAGAGAGTGTGTGTGTGAGAGCGTGGGGTGGTTGATGTGAGCGTGGGTGGAGTGGATGGAGATCACACACGAGCACAAGAGAGAAGTGAGAGAGGAAGGAAGTGAAAGTTGGCTGCTGATGCGCTTGTGGCTGGACGAAGAAAGGCGGATGTTGCGGCAAGTTGGTGGGGTGGTACGATGATTTGCGAAAGATGCGCGCCACAATTCGACATGGGCTTGGTTGATAAATGGCGACGTTCGCCTTGAAAGTTGCTGGGTGATTGTCGACCACCTGTAGCCCGAGACGTTAAAGGGTGCAAATCTGCGGTGTGGTGTGCGGGTTGGAATCCTGCATGCAGGAATGGGGTGTTGATCTGGGTGTCCGACTGAGGCGACTCTCACCACGGACGTCACCACGGAGGTGGAGGCGCCCGGGGCGATAATGAGGCCCGCACCGGCGTAGGCTGGCAACAGAGCACGCAAAAGGGCCCGGGGCTGCCAGCAGTGGGATAGCACTCGTGAGCTTCAGCCTGCTTGTAGCCTTCCCAATACCATCGCGCTTTCTTTTTTTTTTTTGTCGTTATCTGCATGCGTGTGTGTGTGTGTGTGTGTGTGTGTGTGTGTGTGTGTGTGTGTGTGTGTGTGTGTGTGTGTGTGTGTGTGTG